GGATTGAGTCCACAACCTGGGCATGTGCCCTGACCTGGAATCCATAGGTCGATGCTCAACCACTGACCCACACTGGCCCAGCGATCTTGGGCCATTTTTGAAAAGACCATTTTCCCCAGTGAATTGCGCCAGCCCCTTTGCACAAATCAAGTGGCTGTATAACTGTAAATATTTCTTTTATTTTGTTTTTTAAAATATATTTTTATTGATTTCAGAGAGGAAGGGAGAGGGACAAAGAAACATCAGTGATGACAGATAATTGTTGATGGGCTGCCTCCTGCATGCCCCACACTGAGGATTGAGCCAGCAATCTGGGCATGTGCCCCCAACCAGAATCGAACCTGGGACCCTTCAATCCCCAGGCTGACGCTCTATCTACTGAGCCAAACCAGCCAGTGCTAAATATTTCCTTTAAAAAGTATTTTCAAACTGCCCTAGCCGGTTTGGCTTAGTGGATAAAGCGTCGGCCTTCAATTCCGGTCAAGAGCACATGCCTGGGTTGCAGGCTCTGAAACCAATAAAAACATATCTTAAAAACAAACAAAAATTAATGTAACAAAAATGAGAACAGGACAATCACTTTCTTGCTGGCTAGGGCTGAGGTCCCAAGACCTGCTTTCTCTTTGTCATACAAGGATATTTGCATGTGTTCCACGTATTAAAGACAGATCAGCACCCACCTGAGGCTCTCCTTGCTGAAATAAGCTCGATGGAGAGGGAAAGGCGATTCCTTTCTCAGGGTGGCTCAATGTAAGCCTCCCCCATGAACATCCCACCCCCTGCTCTCAAGCTCACTCTGCCCTTTGGGACATCATTTTCCAAGCCTTCTTCCACTTTCCCGGTTCATGAGATGAGGGGCTGCAGAGTTCCCTTTGTAAGTGACAGGGATGGGGCCCCAGGGGAGGGGGCCAGGGGTTTGTTGACTGACTGTTTCTGTCCCCCCTCCTCAGTTTGCTGAGAAGTTCCAGGAAGTGAAGGAAGCAGCGAGGCTGGCGAGGGAGAAATCTCAGGATGGCGGGGAGCTCACCAGTCCAGCCCTGGGGCTGTCCACTCATCAGGTCAGTACACCCTGTCCCATGCCTGCCCAGCGATATGAGGGGAGGGGGTGGGGTTAGGGTTCCTGCGTTGTGATGTGCTGGTGCCCAGAACCAGATGCTCACAAATTGTGGCGGGGCCATGGAGGAGGAGTGTGGGTGCCATGGAGCATGTCAGGGGGAATGTGGCCTCCTGGAAGTTGAGATGGCTGAGGGGGTGGAGTAAAGAGCTGTTCCCGGGCAGTTTCCCCCATGAATTTACTGTGTAATTTATTAGCCACCTACTGTGTGCCAGGCCCAAGGCTGGACTGGGGTTACAGAGATGAAAAGGCAGGCTGGCCCCTGCCCTCAAGGCTCCTGAGGTGAAGTCATAACAAATTCAGCTTAGTGGAGAGGGCTTCCTGAAATGGATGTTGAAATCTGGCCCCAGAGGGGTCCTGTTCCTAAGGTTTCAGATTGCTCCCCATGCCCCCCAGGGCAGATTTCGAGCATCTCTGGGTTTAGACTGACCTGCGTCAGGTTTGCTGCTGGGGAATTGGTGAGAGCTCAGGCAGGCAAGGTCCAGGGGGGCCACGGGGAACCATGGAGGATGGGTGAGAGGGGAAGGGCGCCTGCTCTCAGCCAAGACCTCAGTAACATCAGCCCTGAGGCTAACATGATCTTCTAACCGGTCCTTGACTGACACCCCCCCTCTCGTGACCCCGCTTCTGTCCACACCCTTAGGTGCCCCCGAGCCCCCTCATCAGCACCAATGGTCCCCCCAGCGATGAGAAGCTGTTCCGCAGCCAGAGCGCGGAAGCCCCTGGCCCCGCCGAGCGAGAGCGGCTCAAGAAGATGCTGTCCGAGGGGTGAGGGGGGTAGGGCGGGGCACCGGGACGCGGCAGGAGGTGGGGCTGCGCGAGCCGCTTCTCAGAAGCCGCCCAGCTTGACCATGGACCCAAAGCCTGGGACCCGGAGGCGGGTGACCCCAACAATCCTGCCCCTTCCGGAGTTCGGGAGCCGACCGCGCCCTTGCACGCGCTCCGCTTTGGCCACGCCTTCCGAGGGATGACCCTGCCCCCGCCCCGCTCACGCCTCCTCCGGATAGTTCTACCCCACGGAGCCTCCCAACCCCACCCCGCCTGGCTGGGTCCCCGTGGGCTGACCCGGGCTCCTGCCGCATTCCCTTTGTCTCTGAACAAACACCCGGCGCCTGTACTGACCCCGCCTACGGCAGGGATCGTACCGCCCAGTCCCATTCACTCTCCGGCAGGACCCGCCTGCCCGGACTTCCGCGCCTTGGCTCCGCCCCCACGCCCGCCCCGCCTCGGCCCATTGTACAGTTTCCCGCACTGTCCAGCGTGGCCCCGCCCCCCAGCCATAGCCCCGCCCCAGCCTAGCGCGGCCCCGCCCCTAGCCTAGCGCGGCCGGGCTGGCTCGACCCGGCGCCGACCGCTGCGTCCCCGCAGCTCCGTGGGCGAGGTGCAGTGGGAGGCCGAGTTCTTCGCGCTGCAGGACAGCAACAACAAGTTGGCGAGCGCCCTGAGAGAGGCCAACGCGGCCGCCGCCCAGTGGAGGCAGCAGCTCGAGGCACAGCGCGCAGAGGCCGAGCGGCTGCGGCAGCGGGTGAGGGCACCCTTCCCTCTCAGAGACCCTGGGCCTCCGGCAACTGTGGAGCCCCTGCCTGAGCATGTCCTGTCTGTCCTGGGTTCACCAACTGGCTGTGTGATCTATAGGTTACTTCCCGGAGCCTTAGTTTCACGCTCTGTAAAATGGGTCTGATTTAGCGCCCACCTCAAAGGGGTGTCAGACCCTAAAGTCTTCCCTGCCAGGGGTGGGGTGGTAACTCCGAGCAGAGGGGGCGGGACTGAGCAGAAGGCAGATTCCCCAGAGAGATGCTGAACTTTCTGTCCACCCAGGTGGCTGAACTGGAGGCCCAGGCAGCCACAGAGCCGACCCCAGTCAGTGAGAAAGAGGGGCCAGGCCAGGCGCTGGAACAGCTGGAGTCCTTAGTGCAGACCAAGGACCAGGTGAGCACAGAGCATGTGAGTATGTGTGTTCCCAGGCCTCCTCACCTTCCCTGACCTCCCATGGGAGAGCCAGGACCCCCAGAACACCCTGGGAACTCTTCTCCACTAGGAGATCCAGACACTCAAGAGCCAGGCCGGTGTGCCCCGCGAGGCCCCTGATGCAGTGGATCGGGAGGAGACGCAACAGAAGGTGCAGGTGTGTGTGGTTGCCAGGAGATGGGGTGACTGCGCTTGGGCAGCCAGCTTCTGGTGTGACACAGATTTGGTCTCTTCCCTTCCTGGCTGGTCCCCTTTGGCACGTTTCTCCATCTGTAAGTGGGGTCAGGAAGACAGCTACCTAAGGTGAAGGACTGGAAAGAGCAGATGCTTGGAAGATCTGAGGTGGCTTGTAAACGGTTGTTCTTGGTACAACGTTTTAGATCCACTCAACTGGCAATTTTTTAATCCCTGCTGAGCTTTCTTGACTGCATCAAGTCCTCACACCTCCCCAGCCTGCATTTGAACACAGGTCTGGCTGGCCTGGGTTTTGCTAAAAACTTTATCCAAGAAACAGTCATGGGGCATGTCCTCAAAAGCCCTGAGATGGGGAGGGTATCAGTGTGTCTAAGGAACCACAAAGCCAGCGAGGCTGAGTTGGAATGAGAAAGGAGGAAGGGGATGTGTAGATTTCATCCCCAGCCTGTTGGGTCACAGGCGGCTTTCAGGAAGAGGGCCATGATCAGTTCTATGGTGTTCAAATTGGCTGGGGGAGCAGGGAGTGTCTTCAGCACAGGTGGCAGGGAGATCAAGAGACGGAGGGGGACTTGGTCCACAGTGGGAACTGTGGAGATGGCACTCAGAAACATGCCCCCGTCAGGGCTGGTAACCCTGCCCACCCTCTCCCTGCAGGACCTGGAAACCCGCAACGTGGAGTTGGAGCACCAGCTGCGGGTGACAGAGCGCAGCCTGGAGGAGGCTCGGGCTGAGCGGGAACGGGCAAGGGCTGAGGTGGGCCGGGCCGCACAGCTGCTGGACGTCAGACTGTTCGAGCTGAGCGAGCTGCGGGAGGGCCTGGCCCGCCTAGCTGAGGGTGCTCCCTGAGCCCGGCCTGGCCACCCGTCCTTGTAGGAGCTGGAGCCTATGGGAGCAGGTTCTACACAAATGCTTCCCATTTGGGGCATGGGCTGGCCGCAGGCGGCCCAGCAGGCCACTTGCCCTGGCAGGGACCAGGGCTGACAGCCAATAGAGGGCTTGGCTGCTTACAGCTTAGAGGCTATTGGGGGCTTTTCATTGTGTAAGATTTCTAGACTCTCCACCAGGGCACATGCTGGTGCCCAGATTACATTTCTAAGCATGACTGTGTGTGTGTGGTGGGTGGACACTAAATGTTGTCATTGGACCTTCTCCTGTCTCCTCTCCAATACATCCTAGCTGTCCTCTGCTCATGTAGGGCTGGAAAGTCACTCGAGGCGAGCAGGATGAGGCTCAGAGCCCAAGTGTGTGTGTGGGGGAAGGGGGGGGGGCGGAGTTGGGGAGGGGCTAGGCCACACAGCTGCCTGGTCCTGCTGCCCCCATCCCCTGGGGCTCAGCCCATGTTGTCTAGACCAGTTTGGACTTAGGTGGCCTTGGTTCAGCCTCCCTTCACTCTGGCTGCAAACCCTAGATTCAATGAGGTGGGCAGGCATTGAAGACCACAGCCATGTTCTCCAGAGAAGAGGATGACCTCACCAACCTCATGGCCGCATTTGAAGAGGTGCAGTTGCTATGTCCACTTACAGATGAGGAAACTGACCCTGAGGGACTCACCAACCCAAGGTCACCCACCTGGAACAGCCAGCACTGTAGTTCAGTTTGGGGCCTGGCCCAACAGGAATGAAGAATTGGGGGGGGGGGGGGGGGTGAGGAGAGATAAGGTCCCAGGGGACTTAAAAGGCGCAGGAAGCCATACCCTCCTCTCCTACTCCTGTGCCCCGAGGCAGACTGGGCAAGTCAAAAGACCAGTTTATTATCTCCTGCAAATGACACACCTTCACTTTTGGGCCCACAGCACCCCCTTCAGTGACCCTGGGCTGGAGTCACTTTATGGAGATGGGCCCAACCACATGGCCAGTGTTCTTCCCTTGATAGCTTGACTTTGGGCCAAGGCTTAGAGAAGGAGCCAGTTGGGGCCACAGAAGAGGAGCCATGTACTGCACAATGTGGGCGTCCATGGGCTCCACTGAGGGGGACTGGGCAGCTTGGGAGGGGAAAACTGCCCTCCAACTCTCCAACCCTCAGTTTGATGAAGGAGTCTTAGGCTGGGCAGGTAGGGGCCGAGTGGGCCTTAGGCCAGGTCCTGGGCCTGAGCGGGCCTCCGGTCGGGCTTTGGGTAGACGGCCCCTGTGGCCAGTCCCACCGGCCTTCTGCCGCTGCAACGCGTGCTCCACCTGCTCCTTGAAGCGCCGGTTCTTCTGCTTGATCTTGGCCAGCTCAGCCTTGCGCTTGGCCTCCAGGTCAGGGTCCTGGCTCGGGGAGGACAGGGAGATGGCTGAGCTGGTTACTCCCTACCTCAGGAACCTTGCCTCCCACCTGCTGGCTCAGCCCTCACCTTTCCCTCCAGGATCAGCTGCTTCCGCTTGTTAATTTCCTTCTTTTCATCAAAGTTGGCTGCCTCAAGTTTCTGGGGTTGGGGAGAGGGAGAGGCTGTCATGGGGGGTAGTTCCCATCTCGAAGGGAGCACCCTGGGTCCCAAAGATCAGCTCCTGGACACTCACAATCTCGCATTCCCTCCGCACCACGTTGACCTGTGTGAGAATCTGCAGCACCTCAGCCTCCTCCACCAGGAACTCCTCCAGCTTCTTCTCTGTGGGGACAAGGGTGGGGGGAGGGGGCAGACATGACAGGAAGAGGAATTTCAGCCAATACTGAGTTCCCAGTGTGTGTGTGTGGAGGGGGGGGGGGGGGCCATGCAAGGTGTCTGGGGGTCTTAACAGATAAAAGTCAGGTGGGCAAGATCTGGGATTTCAGACCTAAGTAGGATGTAGGATACAGACTGCTTCTGTGTGTGTGTGTGTGTGTGTGTGTGTGTGTGGTTACCAATGCTAAGAACTGGATTGGGGGGGAAAGTACTTTTTTGGGCAGTGTTCTCTAAAGTCAAGCTGTTTCTGAATTTGAGGAGTCACTGGTGATTAGACATGCCCTCGTGGTTCTTGGTCTTGGCTACACATTAAACTACCTGATGGGGGTTTTAAACAGACTCAAGCCTCATCCCTAGGGCCTTGGACCTATTCACAGGGACCACCCACACAAGGTCTCAGAAACCAGACCTTGCCCACCAGATGGCCATTATGGGGAGCTTCTCTTTCAATAATTGGGCAAAAGAAACTTCTTTGGGGGATGTATAGGAAGGAAAGTGGTTTAAGTTGGCTCGTGTGAGAAGGCAGGTGGGTATCCCACTCCTGCCCCCTTACTCACTGATTTGCTCCTCGATGGCATGAACCAGGTGGATGTCATACTGTGTCACCAGTGTGATGGCCTGTCCCTGCCGCCCTGTAAGGACATACCAGTTACCTGCTATGTGCCAGGGGCCAGGATGAGGGGTCAAGAGACAGGTCAGGACTCCTCTTGAGAGGAACAGAACTTGGTGAGTAGGTGGGGGCAGGTGAAGGAAGCCTGGGTTATCAGGGCTTGACCCCCAGCAAGACCCGTGTAGTGGGTGATCTGCCCCAGGGGAGCTGAGCTGCAGGACGGCAGGGAGAGGTGGCTCTCTTGCCAGCTTGGCCCTAATTGGAGCAGGTGATGTGGCTGACTCCCCTTTTGGCATGGCTACCAGGGAGCCCAGGCTGTTATGGCAGCAGTAAGCTGTGACAGGCCTCAGCCCAGATTTCTGCATGCCAGTTTCTCCGTTCCGTTTCTGTGACAATGGCTAGTGCTGGACCAGCGCTGACAGCTGACCAGGCCCATGATCCTTGGAGCAGCTTCAAACAGACATCATGTTCTCGTTACCCACCACTTGACAAAGCAGTAAGGTCCAGAAAGCTGATGTGATCTGCCTGAGGCCACAGGGCAGGAGAGAAGGGGCAGGACCAGTACAGCCCCAGAAAGTATCTCTCCACTCCAGGCATGACAAAATCTCACAAATGCAGCACCCCTCCCTGTTAGAGCTGGGGATCAGGGAGATGGATGTCTCCTTGGCCACTGGCTAGGGTCACAGTGAGGGGTTAAACTTGGATATCAAATCCCATAGACAACACCACATTCACCAGGGCTCATGCACCCACTCACTGCAAGGTGCCAATTGGCAGCCCGACAGTCTAAGAGGACTGAAGTGAGGCAACAGGGATTGATGAGGATTGGGGCAGTATATGCTATGTCCCCAGAGACAGATGTAGGTTCTATGAAAAAGCCAAAGTACCCCCACCTTTGCTTTTAAAAGGACAGTTCCCCAGCAGCTTTCACCTGGGGCTGTATCCCCCCACCTGCCCCACTAGCTCATGACTTTGGCTCCTCATGGTGTGGGCAAGCTGTAGGGATGGCTCCCCAAAGGCCATCCCACCCGTCTACTCACCTGCACGGGCTGTCCGGCCAACTCGGTGGATGTAGATCTTTGGGAGCCCGGGGGTATTGTGGTTAATGACCACCTGCACCGTGGGAATGTCCAGGCCCCTAGAGGCAGAGGCCGATCAGCACCACTGCCCACATGGTAAAACCGGTGCTGGGACTCACCCAAGGTCACTCAGCAGTGAAACGGGCTGCCCAATCCTGGCCCGAGGCCAGCCTCCCCCTCTGGCCCCTCTGTGGGGTGTCACCGGGCCAGCACATAGGACGGAGTATTCTGCTCACCGAGAGGCCACATCTGTTGCGATCAGGATCCGATAGATGCTGGACTTAAACTTGGCCAGGGCAGCAAAGCGTTCTTTCTGAGCCGGATCGGGGAAGAATTGGGGGAATGGGGATGGGGGTCGGATACCATCTTAGTCAATGAGCACTTATTGTATGAGGCCTAGGACAGGGCTGGGGCCAGGATGGTCCTGCCCTCACAGGGTGCACAGTCCAGGGAGGGAGATGACTAAAAAAGCCAGAACGGGCGAAGGGGGGTGGCAGGAAGAGTGTACCAGGCAGAGGGAAGAGCCTACGCAAAGGCCCGGAGGCTGGGAGGAATCACAGGCAAGGAGAGCAGGTGGGGGTCTCCTCACCTGTTTCATCATAGAATGCAGAGCCACAGTGGGGAAGTTGAACTTGCGTAGCATCATGCACAGGACCTGGCAGGTCCTGGTGGGAAGAATGCACTTTCAGCCCCTACAAAAGCTGGGGTCCTGGGAAAGTGCTCTTTGCCCCCCTGCCCCCCACCCTGCCTAGGACCCCAGGCAGGTGACCCTGCACAGACAGGCAGGGACAAGCTGAGGTGCAGGGTGCCTTGCCCACTGACATCCTCTCTGCTGACTCCTCCCAGCCTAAGCCAGCAAGAGTCAGCCCCAAACCCAGACTTTTCAGGTAGCCAATAAGTTCTTCAGGTCCCATCGATGTGGTATGGACTGCCCGCCTACTGGCTCACGTCAGAACAGTCTACAGCCTCTTGACAATCCCTGCACATGCTTCAGAAGAGTCAGAAGTCCCCTGGGTCTATGGGGAGCACAGCCCCAGGTGTGGGTGCTGCTGCACTGGGCCTCAGGGACCTTAGACCATAGTGAATAGGCTGCTCCAAAAATGGGGACAGTCTGGCTTTCATGTTAAGGGCAGATCTGAGGAACCCCCATTCCTAGCTCCACCTTCAGAAGATGTGATCCTGGTGAGTGGCTTGTTCTGAGCCGCTTTGAGCAAATCTCACAAAACCTCTGGTCTGAGCGAGGCCCTGGAGTGCGGAGACTGGCTGTGTGCCTCCCACCTGGGACCTCGGGCCACCTCTTGGGCCCTCATGGAAGTCTGTGGGAAGCGGGCCCACCAAGCTCACTTGCATGTGTTGGTGAAGATGATGATGGACCAGTCTTCATGCTCATCATGGAACTTCTGGATCAGGTGGACCAAGTAGGCGTCCTTGACCTTCTCAGGCACCAGCAGGTAGCGCTGGTCTAGCTGTTCTACCGTGCGCACCCTGGGAAGGGGTAGGCCTCAGTTTCCCCTTCTGCTGAATTCGGCCAATGCCCTGCCCACCTATGGGCAATAATCTCCATTGGGTGTATTGGGTGTAACCCCACCACCACCCCTGCCTGCCCCCGACACCCCGGGAATGTGGCTGTGGACTCACGGGGCTTGAGCCTCCCAGAAGAAGGGCTGGTTGGTGGCCAGGCCCTGCAGCTCCTTTAGTGTGTCAGTCAGGGTGGCACTGAAGAGCAGCGTCTGCCTGCGGGCCGGCACCGCTGCCAGGATGGCTTCCAGGTCTACGGTAAAGTCAGTGCAGCCCTGCTCCAACAGCCGGTCTGCCTCGTCCATCACCTGCAACGCCAGCAGCAGCGGGTAGTGGTAGTGGGTTTGGGGTGAGTGTGCTGTCCAAGGCTGGCCTGCCTCCCCCATGTTCCTCCTTCCCAGCTCTGACCATGAGCCTGGGAGCACGCTCCCTTGAGGTCTTGGAGGTCCTGCTCCATCACCTGTCTCAGCTCCAATGTCACTTCTTTAGACAGGCCCTGCTCCCAACCACCCCCACAGGTACAGACTCCCTCTTGTGGGTCTGAGCTATCCTTGTCACGTTCCTAACATTCTGCTGGATGGCCTGTGGGACCCGTTTTCCAAATGGATGAATCAGTGCCCAGGCCAACTCACCAAGAAGCGGATTTTCTTGATGCTGAACGTGTTGGAGCTGCGGAGGTGGTCAGCCAGGCGCCCTGGCGTGGCGATGACCACATGTGGTTTCCGGGACAGCTCCAGGGCCTGGGCCACCATGTCTGCAGGTGGAGGGCAAGAGGTGGGGCTGGGCAGGTGGTCCAAGTCTGCAGGGGTCCCATACCCAAAGCCTCCCTGGGGCCCCCGTACCCATGCCGCCAACGATGATGCAGTCTTTCAGGCCCAGAGGCTTCCCCAGGACCCGGAACTGCTCTGCGATCTGGTAGGCCAGCTCCCTGTGGGTGTGAAGGAGCCGGGCTGGGTGACAGAGGTTTTGTACCTGTCTCCCATCCCCATCTCCACCCCCAGGGCTTCCCGACCTGCTCTCCTCTGTTCACACACCCTCCGTGGCTTCCAGGCTTCTTTGGACAAAAACTCTGACGATTAGCGTCGGAGGCCTGTGTGGACCCTTCCCCCTTACCAGACTAGACCCCAGAACAGCCCAGGGCCCCTCCCCTACTGGCCTCTCCTCCTCCCATGTTCTCAGCAATGGCCTTGACACCAGTCACCAAAGCCTGAAACCCTCCTGCCCTGGGGGTAGCCAGTGTTCAAGTGCCCTCCTCTCTGCCCCTTGGCCCTGGCTCCAACCAGGCCTTTTCTCAGCCCATGCCCCCAATTCCTGGCCTCTTGTCTCGCCCTCTCCCTCAGACCCAATTATAACCTGGCATTCAAGGCCCTTCTCAAGCTGGCTCTAATATGCCAGCCCCCGGTGCCCTTCCTGTTCCCTGCCCCTCACACCTCTGCATGAATGTACTCGCAGTTCACTCTGCCTAGATTACTTTTCCCCCAACTTGTCCCTTTGAGAGACCCTCCTCATCTTTTAAGGCACCCTGACTGAAGCCTTCCTTGACACCACCCATTCCCAGGCCACACTCTCATAGCATGCAGTGCCTACCTCTCCTGTCATTAAAAAACTAACCATGTCAACCACCACATCTTTATGACCAAGAACAAGAGAGATGCCTATTCTTAAGCTACAAGGCTACTGACAGTTCCTGTCTGTCCAGTGCTTGCCCTGAGTCAAGCTCTGTGCCAAGCATTTTCCACACACTATCTTGTTTAATTCTGCAGCACTCTGAAGAGGGGGACTTGATTTCTGTCCCCACTTTGCACACAGGGTGAGTACGGCAAAGAGAAGGAAAGCTGCTTGTCCAAGAGAACACAACTGGTTAACTCACCCAGGAGGCCTATGGGGGGGCTCACCTGGTGGGCGTCAGGACAAGACAGAAGATGCCATAGGGATCCTCAGAGAGCTTCTGCAAGATGGGCAAGACAAATGCTGCCGTCTTGCCACTGCCTGTCTTAGCACAGCCCAGGCAGTCCCGACCTGGGCAGAGGGCAAAGCAACATCAACAGTTTAGGTGTGGACAGGTGTCCATTGAGCTGTTACTGATACCAGCCCATGCCCTTTCCATTCCAGGCATACCGACAAGTTCTAGGAAGGAGAGACCATTATCATTCCCATTTAACAGAAGGGGGAACTGAGACTCAGATTTGCCCAGAAACACAGCTGATGAGTAGCAGGCTGGACTGGAACCCATATCCATGACTCAAGATGCTACTAACTAGTACCTCATTTTGACAACCCTCCCCCCCCACCACCACCATCATCTGAGCCCGGGGAACTTAGAATGCCTTCCTCCAATCTGCATCTTATGCTCCCTATTGATTCTTTCACCTTTGTTTATTTAACCCGTCATCTTGCCACGGCCTAGGCTTCCTGTGGGCATCTCTGCAATGGCAAACTGGTTTGGGCCAGAAGAGTGGGGAGAAGTGCAGTCACGGAATCAGAGTCCTGGATCTACCAGTAAACTTGACAGCCTCAGTTTCCATTTATAAAATGAAGACAGTAGTGCAAGTTCTATTCAATTTTCCCAGTACTATCGGTTAGTCGTTCACCAAAACCTCCCTGAGTTCTGAGACTATAGACGTTTCAGGGTTACATCACTTGTGCGCGGACACACAGTGAGTCGTGCAGCCTAAACGTTAACAACACTGCCATGTCTGCCTCCGGAACCAGGCTCCCCGAGACGCCCGAGGCTGCCCCTCGCCTCTCGGGACCAGCATGGATAAAGGGAACGGAGGAGGCACAGGAGCGGAGATGCCTCGTGGGGAAGAGGCCCGGCCACACTCACCTTCCAGGATGGCGGGGATGCAGCCGAGCTGCACGGGTGTGGGCTGCTTCAAACCCAGCTGCCGACACTGTTCCACGAGCCACGAGGACAAACCGAGCTCAGCGAACCCGGCCATCCTCGCTGCCTGCCGCTGAGCGCCTGTGAGCCGCGCTTCCGGCGCGTGCCAATGACGTATAAAATGTCCCATTGATTGGTTCCGACTCCTGCGTGATTCCACCGTCTTAAATTCTCTCTGCCATTCCCAGTCTCGACCATATCCTTACCATGTTTTCTCCAATCCCGTTGGTTCGCAGGATTAACTCAAACTACAATTCCCGAAATGCCCTGAAAGACGCACTGCGTCACCCGTCCCTTTACTTTGGTTTAGGAATCTCTCATTGGCTCATCTTCAGGCCGGAACGAGTAAACTACATTTCCCGGCGTGCCCCGCGGTGACTCCCTGCTTCCTGTAGACGTGTCCCTGCGGAAGAGGAGTAACACCAGAGCGACATGGCGCCCCCGGCTCCGGGTTCGGCTTCCGGCGGCTCTGGAGAAGTGGACGAGCTGTTCGACGTGAAGAACGCCTTCTACATCGGCAGCTACCAGCAGTGCATCAACGAGGCGCAGCGGGTGAAGGTGCGGCCGCTTCGGGGCCGGGGACTGAGGTGGCGGCGTTCCTGCTGCCGCGGGTCGCGCTCTGTTTTTAAAAACTTCTGGCGGCGTTTACCCCCACGCACCTCTTCAGAGGCGGTGAGGAGTAATCCTCCCATGACAGGACCCGAAGCAATAGCAGTTTTTACTCTCAGAGCGCCCGCTCTGCGTCCTGGAGGGCGTTTGAGTTGGGGGTTTATGCTCTATAATAATAATGGCCGTAGTTTCGTTTGTTGGGCGCCCACACTGGCCGCCGTACCCTCAATCCCCGTGAAGTAGGGACTGCTTATCTCACAGGTGAGAATACCCGCTCTCAGAGAGGAATGACGTCCCCAGCGTCACCCTGCCCCACGAGCCCGGCTGTTTCTCCCCAGACTCCTCATTCATTCATTCATTCCTCTGAGCATCTGGGGGGGTCAGGCAGAGTGTTCGTGCTGAGCTCAAGAGAATGACAAAATAGACAAAACTGTCAGCTCTCTTTTGGGAAAGAGTAAACAAGTAAATGAGTACGCAAGTCAGGAGGTGGTGTGATGGAGGAGGAGGGAATGAGCTGGCAGTTTGAGCTGGAAAATGAACCTTCATGGCAGGACCTTTAACAGAGGGACATGGACCTTCTGTCACTTTGTAAGAGTCGGGAATATGGCAGGGTCTCTGCCTGCGTCCACAGCCCCGTGTTCCAAAGAGAGGAAACAAAGAAGCGAGTGAGCAGTACAGCGAGCCCTACGTGTGGGCAAGGGGAGAAAAAAGAACTCCCTCCAAACTGGGGAAGGGTGGCTTCTGAGTGTGGGAGTGGGCCAGTCAGGCCTGCCTTTCCCATTGTCCTTTGAACCTGAGACTGAACTTTGAGAAGCTCCTAACCCCGTAAGTTACTGCAGAGGTGCTGTGGCAGGTGTGAGCCCGGGGTCGTCAAGGCAGGCGCGGCCCGTGTGGCAGAGGTAGGGGGGAGGTGCCGAGGGGGAGGATGGAGAATGGTGTGGGCAGGGTGGGAGGCAGCAGGGTTTTGGATTTTATTCCAGACTGATTAGGATTTTATTCCAGACTGATTAGCATTTTATTCCAGACTGATTTGGTGCCATCAGAGCACCAGAGAAGGGAGTGGCAGCCATCTTCACAGAGGCAGCCAGATGACTGGGAGGAATTTGGACTCTGAAGTAGAGAAGGCTTGCTTTCCATGCCTCTCTTCTTCGGCCGTGAACCTGATGCCTCTGAGCATCTTCGGGAAGCTGTTAGGGTTTGTTGAGCTAACATTTGCACCATTGTGTTAATTTTCTGTGGCTTCCCCGACAACTTACAACAGAGTGCATAAAACAACACTACTTTATTCATCTCTCGCCGTTCGTTCGGTCAGAAGTCCAGTGTGGCGCTCACCATGCTACATTCAAGGTGTCGTCCAGGCTTTGTCTTTTCTGGAGGTTCTAGGGAACAGTCTGCTTTCAAATGCAGTCAGGTTGTGGGCTCTCCACCAGGGGTCACGCTTAGCTCCTAGAGCCGCGGTTCTCAACCTTCTGGCCCTTTAAATACACTTCCTCATGTTGTGACCCAACCATAACATTATTTTCGTTGCTACTTCATAACTGTAACATTGCTACTGTTATGAATCCTAATGTAAGTATCTGATATGCAGGATGGTCTTAGGCGACCCTGTGAAAGGGTCGTTCGACCGCCAAAGGGGTCGAGACCCACAGGTTGAGAACCGCTGTCCTAGAGGCTTTTCTCCAGCCTTCGACCTGCCTGCGTATGCTCCACCCCATCCCCAGTTCCCATCTTGGAACCTGAAGTTCAGAGACTTTGCCCTTCTGCTGCATTCCTTCTGCCCAGTCTCTGCTTTTAGGGCTTCTGTGATTAGACGGGCCCTCCCGGGTAACCAGCATACTCTTTCTATTTTAATCATGTCTGCGAAGTCCCTCTGGGCAACCTCATTTGCCCACCATCAGAACTGTATGTGCCTCCTTGCCAGGGTGGTCTAGGCTGTGAGAAGATTGAGATGGACCTGGGCTCAGAGTCCAGTTCTTCCATGTTGTCTCTGCAGCTAGGGCTGAGCTTCAGTTTCCCCTCCTGACACCTCTCAGTAGGGCCACTGTGAAATTCAGCATTGTACTCTCGTTCACCTTTTGGCTTCTGCCATGTGTCTGTGCTGCTTACATCATAGCAGTGTGTTATTTGAGTCTTCTCACATCATAATATGCAAACTTTACATCACTGCTGACGGAACCAGTGTGATCTGCTATACGTAGAGAGTGACTGAAAACAAAGGAAATCGTACCAGTGATCACTCTGGCTGGAGGCACACACAACCCAGCTTCTGAGCCACAGGCATTGCCAAGACATCTCTCTGAGGCATCCAGGGAATGGAAGCACTGTCCCTGCTGAGCCATCTAATGTCAATGAATTCTGGTCCATTGGAGCACCTAAGCCTCTTAGGCAGCCTGTGTTGCATTGAATGCTACCCCAGAAAGATACGTCCAACCCAGAACCTATTAATATGACTTATTTGGAAAAAGGGTTTTTTCGGATGTGATTCAATGAAGGATCTCTAGATGAGATCAGCTGGGATTTAGGAAGGCCCTAAATCGTGTAATTGGAGAGGAAGGCAGAAAGGTTTGAGGCAGACAGAGAAGATGGAGGCAGAGGTTGGGGTGATACAGCCGTAAACCAAGGAATGCCTGGAACCATCAGAAGCTGGACGAGGCAAGGAATAATTCTCCCCTAGAGCCTTTGGCGGGAGTGTGGCCCTGCTGACACCTTGATCTTGGACTTCTGGCCTCCAGAACTGTGAGAGAATACGTATCTGTTGTTTGAAGCCCCCAGTTTGTGGTAGTTTGGGACAGTGTCCCAGCAACCTCAGATGGGCAGGACCTGAGGTGGTTCCAGGTGGAACACAGGTATGTCCTAGCACTATGTCACCATCATGTCCCTGTTTGTTGGACATTTTTTAAGCGCCCACAAGATGGCAGGCACACCAAGGTATTGGGGACAAAACAGAAGAAAGCCTCAGGAACTGACATCTAGTGTGGTCAGGTGACTCTCATGGACAATAGGAGAGGGGATGCAACCCCCCCCCCCCCACCCATCACTCGCCTCCCCAGATAGTACCTCTTGCTCTCAGGCTTCACTGCACCTGTCCACTACTGGGGGCAGGTAGACCACCTGGTGTCAGACAGCATTGACAGGCTTGGGCCTTCTGGCTTTGCTGGTTTCTGAGTTCCCAGGGAATTCGCATGAGCTGTCAGAACTGGGGACCCACAGTCCCACAGAGCGCTCAACTCACCTGGTGCCCCTGGTCTGTACATCTGTCGTTTTTGTTGGTTTTTAGAGAGATAAGGGAGAGGGATAGAGAGAGAGAGACATCGATGAGAGAAACATCATCAGTCAGCTGCCTCTGGCACGCCCCCTAATAGGGATCTAGCCTGAAACTGGGGCATGTGCCCTGACCTGGAATCGAACTGGTGACCTCTTGGTTCATGGGCCTATGCTCAACCACTGAGCCACACCAGCCGGCTGTCCTTGTTCTTACGCCTCTCAGAAGCTCCTCTCTTCCCGACTGATTGAGAAGCTCCCAGTGTCCACGTGTGGCTTTTGGTAAGACCTTGGCGGTCGTGCAGAGTTGGCGATGGTGGTGCCCATTTTACAGATGGGCAGGTTAAGAGTTTCCTCTGGGACTCAAGAGTTCCCCTCAGGTTCCCCCATTGTGTCCTTTCTTCAAAGACACCAAGAGCCAGCATGTCTGTTGTTTTTTTAATTTAATTTTGTTTTGTTTTGTTATCCTCACAAGAGGATATATTTTTCCCCATTGCGTTTCAGAGAGAGTGGAAGGGAGAGGGAGAAGGGGAGAGAGAGACACACCAACTGGTTGCCTGTCGCACATGCCCTGATGGGGTGGGGTGTCGGGGGAGGTGGCATCTCAAAACCTAGGTGCGTGCCCTTGTCCGGGAATGGAATCCAAGACCCTTTGATGCATGGACCTTGCTCTAACTGTTTAGCCACACCAGCCGGAACAACATGTCTGTTTTTCTACTGAAAGTGGTGTGGGGCCCCATATGGGCTGTCCACACCAGTACCCACCTCTGAGGGTCATTTGAAAGTCATTTATTTAGCAGATGTGTTCCAAATCATGGTCAGACCCCCAGCCTGGTCTCCAAGGTCAGAGAAAGCCCCTGGGACCCTGCAGTGAAGTTGGCCTGAGTCAGGCTGGGACTAGGAGCCCGGCCTCTTGTTTGTGGTCTCCCTTGGCCTGAGTGGAGGACACTGTCGCTCACCAACCTCACCCCTCAGGCTGGGGAGAAGAAGGCATGGTGACGGGATCTGGTTGTCACCTGGGGGAGGGCAGTCCTGGTGTATCCAGACCCTGTGCTGTGGCAGCCATATAGGCCATCTCTCTGCGCTTGCTGGAGAGGCCACCCCCGGTGGCTGGGCCCTCTTCCCACCTCATTTTTCTCTCCCAGCCCCTAGGGTAGCCTATGCCAGTGCCCCCACACCCTCTGGACTGTGCTGCTCTGTGTCCACCTGTCCTAGGCATCACAGGGCCT